CTAAGTAACCTCATGTAATGGCAGAGCAATTCATAGTCGGTTTTCACCGCTCGCCTCTCGTTGTTCTAATGGATTTTCACCTGTAATGAAATTATTTATTGCATATGCCGTTTATTTCGCCTGAACGAAGGCTTAAATCAATAAATTCCAACCGATAATAATAAAATCGAAAACAAACTGTGCCTTGCGCACTCGACCGGGTAAATTATTCATAGTCTAGTAGCATTACTCTATAGTTTGTTTACGGAACAACACAATTTTAGTGCTGGATATTTTAATCAATTTTGAACATTTCATCGAAATTATCTGTAAACATTTTTTTTTTTTCGCTAGTTCAGCAACAGTTTTTGAATCTGCTTGTGCTTCGACGATGTTTCAAATGCTGCCCTACGATCATAAGCTGTGCCACATGGCCTACAGCTATAAGCTGGACCTGAACGCGTGTAGACGGCCAGTGGAGCAGAATGATTTAGCAATGGATAAGGTCTTTATAATGCATCGTATTCTGGTGTTGTCCTGTCTGATCGCTGTGGTGAGAGCTCAATAGTTGTGCATTGTCTTTGGCTAGGCATTAGTCTGTAATCATCCCTACTCCTGCTAGATCAAAGGTGTGCTTGTCTTTATAAAGCATTACAACAGCCCCAGGACAAAGTTGCCCACTCTATGGCAAAATGATAGGTTTTTGGTACTGCAGCCAGCTACGACGCGCATATGTCGATGTGTCATTAGTTTTATACATCTGAATTGTTGGCTGCTCTTGACCTATGCTGCCGTATCCGTAAGACCTGTAAGACCCTAAGCCTTAATTCACATTAATAGCCAAAGTATTTGCAGTTTACACCTTCACTGATGCTGCCCTGGCTGATCTATTATTACGTGCTATTGGCCCTGCGACTGATGAAGTATGGAATTAAAGCTTCAGCGAACAAATTGAAGGGGAAACGTCTAAAAAAGGCTGTAGTGATCTCGAATATGATACTGAAGATTGCGTTTGTCACATTTTGCAAAAAGGACTTTCAGGCAGTCCTTGATACAATTAGTGATTGATTTTTTACATTTATAATTTTTTTCTGGATACGGATGGTTTTTTTACAATAAATGGAACAAGCGAACAAGTCGAGTTTCGGGAGGGTCTTGAAGAGAGAAAGAGTTATAGAGTGAGGTAAAGAAGAAGAGGTAGATTAGATATAGATTTGAGATAGAATATAGAGAGGAATAGAAACTAAATGATGGATAATGAG